CAACATGATTGGCTGATAAAAATATATGAAAAATACTCAACTCACTAGTAATTAGAAAAATAAAAACTAAACCACAGAGTAGAAGGAGAAATATAGGACACTTATTTCATCTTTGACTGAGTTGTCAGACTTTACAAAAATAAACGTTAGCAATATGTACCAATGCTGAAAATATATACATCCTATGCCTCAGCAATTAGAGATGTTGCTCACATGTACAAGAATAAAGCTAGCCACTGTTTTTGTAATAGTGAAAAACAGTCAACAACTGTATAATGATCAAAGGGCAAGACAAATTCATTGAGGTGTATGTATATAAAGCTTGAGCTAAAAGATACTTCATTTTGTAGAAAAATAGCAGTTCAGAAAAAGGAAGCTAATTGCAGGTCATGATGTGAGCTGTCTGCCATCAAATCACCATTAACTACACGAAATAATGACTGATAATTCCAACCTCAGAGTCATTCCCTTTGGATTTGGGAACATTTCCCAGAGACGTTAATAGGTATTAGGAATGCAGGTTCCATGATAACATTATAAAATATTCTTTACCACAGGTCTCCATTCATTTGTTTGGCTGACACGAGCGTTCCATTGTTCAAAGGGAGGCATTTAGTTTTCAGCACTTCATAAATTTGTTTAAGCACAAAAATGTTTTTTAAAATATTATCAAGTACTAATGGTGTTCCTGGGGGCATAATATCAAGTATTTTGGGTAAAGGTAGGTCTTTGCATTCAACATGCACATACAGTAACCTGGAGAAGTACCAAGCTGACCTATGGAACGATGTATTATTACAGAACACAAATTATTCTGTCTTGTGTTATATTTAATTCTAAAACTTTAACTTGTATGGGACAATGGCTCCCCCCTCCCCGGGAAAGATTCGCTGAGCTAACATCCGTTGCCAATCTTCCTCCTTTTTTTTTTTTCCTCCCCAACGCCCCAGTACATAGTTGTATATTGTAGTTATAAGTCTTTCTAGTTCTTCTATGTGAGCCGCTGCCACAGCATGGCTACTGACAGACAAGTGGTGTGGTTCCGCAACTGGGAACCGAATGCAGGCTGCTGAAGCAGAGAGCACCAAACTTTTAACCACTAGGCCATCGGGGCTGGCTTGGGACAATGGTTTTAACTATCAGATGGTGAATGATTAAATAGGATACTGGATTCTCCATCTGCAGCAAATGGACATAGAAATGTCAATTATTAAGGGAAAATCACACTGGCATCTAGTTGGTTGGTTGACAATGTGTAATTTGAGAATTTCCACAATCATTCTTTTTTTTTTTTTTTTTTTGTGAGGAAGACCGGCTCTGAGCTAACATCTATTGCCAATCCTTCTCCTTTTTTTTTTTTTTACCCCCAAAGCCCCAGTAGATAGTTGTATATCATAGCTGCACATCCTTCTAGTTGCTGTATGTGGGACGCGGCCTCAGCATGGCCAGAGAAGCGGTACGTCGGTGCGCGCCCAGGATCCGAACCCGGGCCGCCAGTAGTGGAGTGCGCGCACTTAACCGCTAAGCCATGGGGCCAGCCGGTTCACAATCATTCTTATTTGAAAGGTATTAATTCTTTTATAGGGTTGAACACTAATTATGCAAAACCACAGTATTTCATCAAAACTAGTATGCTTTGATGCTGGCACTTTCTTGACATTGCCAGAAAATACAGTGGAAGGTATTTCAAATGACTAATTTATGATGGTTTTCTGGCTGGAAGTGGTTGAAAGTAGTTATCAATTGTAAATCGCATTCTGATTTAGATAATGTTAAAATGCAAGAAAAAAATAATGTTCCTTTTAGTATTGAAGAAATTTATAATTCAACTCATTCCTAAAGTTAAATAAAGATTAGGAAAACTAATAAATCTAGATCACAGGTCAGCAAACTTCTTCTTAAAGGGCAAATAGTAAATATTTTAGGCTTATGGAGCATACAACGTCTGTTAAAACTACTCAGCTTTGCTGTTGAATCAAGGAAGTAGCCTTAGATAACATGCAAATTAACGAGTATAGCTGTGCTCCAATAACACTGTATTTACAAAAACAGGTGGGTGGCCCACAGGCCATTGTTTGCTGACCTCAAACCTTGAAAAAACCAGAGGTGGATCAATCGTTTTGTCGCTCATCAAGATTTATAATTAAACCAGAATAGTTCATGTCTTGGTTATTCTACATAAATGCCTTTTAGTTTCATAGTTCTTTTGGTAAATCCTTAGTTTCATTTGATGAATTATGTATTTAGATTTCCTGTGCTTAATTTCATAAGGGAAACTCATATAACTTTTGATTTTGGGGACCTATTCTTATAGAGATTTATTATAATTATGTAATCCATGTAGCAATGAGATGGAAAAACTTTGTTAGAAATAATTTCCTTATCTAAGTCTTACCTGCGTATGTGCCATAGTGCTGCTTTTAAGAGAGAGGTCGTTTTCCTTTGATTTTATTAAAATTTCCAATATCACCTTAGGTTAATTTTGATAAATCACATTTTTTCTAGGAAGATAATTCATTCTCCCTAGATTTCTAAATATACTGAAGCATTATATTATAATTTAAATTTTTTCCTCCATATTTAAATCCCTTTTATTAACAGTGCTATAATATAATTATTCTTATGTTTTTCTTGACCAGATTTACCAATGTCTATTTGATGTTAATATACTTTTAATAAAGAAATTTAAAAGTTAAAAAATATTGTTTCAGGGGCTGGCCCCATGGCATAGTGTTTAAAAGTTCAGCGTGCTCTGCTCTGGTGGCCCAGGTTCATGGGTTTGGATCCTGGGCGCGGACCTACACCACTCGTCAGCCATGCTGAGGCAGCAACCCACGTATAAAGTAGAGGAAGACTGGCACAGATGTTAGCTCAGGCCTAATCTTCCTCAGCAAAAAAAATATATATGTATAGTTTCAAGATTACTGTTTCTTTTTCTTTTTTTTGTGAGGAAGACCAGCCCTGAGATAACATCCAATGCCAATCCTCCTCTTTTTTTACTGAGGAAGACTGGCCCTGGGCTAACAACTGCGCCCATCTTTCTCTACTTTATATGGGATGCCGCCACAGCATGCCTTAACAAGCGGTGCGTTGGTGCGTGCCTGGGATCTGAACTGGCGAACCTCGGGCCACTGCAGTGGAGCGCGCGCACTTAACCGCTTGCGCCACCGGGCTGGCCCCATGTTTCTAAACCACTAAACTCTAGCTCTAGATGTATTCGTTGCTTTTCACAGAAAGAAACAAAACTTTTTTTTGTGTGTGAGGAGGACTAGCTCTGAGCTAACATCTGATGCCAATCCTCCCCTTTTTCCTGAGAAAGATTGGCCCTGGGCTAACATCTGTGCCCATCTTCCTCTATTTTATATGGGATGCCGCCACAGCATGGCTTGACAAACGGTGCGTTGGTGTGCACCCGGGACCTGAACCTGCCAACCCCGGGCCACGGCAGCAGGGTGCACGCACTTAACTGCTGCGCCATCGGCCCGGCCCCCAAGAAACAAAACTTTTCAAGAGTACTATTTCAGTTACTAATCAATAAACTCTAATAATTTTAGTTGTATTAATTCCTTATATTGGCTTAGAATTTATGTTGTTGTTTTTCTAGCTTTGTAGGTAAAATTCTTATTCATTATTTTCTCAATGCCTACTAAGTGACAGGCATTGAATAGGCTCTGGGGATAAAGGAGTGAATGGAAATAAAGTTCTAGTCTTCATTTTTGGTTTCGTGCATGCATTGAAGAGTATTAAATTTCCAACAAGCAGAGGACTGGCAACATCCCAAAGTTCTGGTATACAGGCATTTTATTATCACTCTTTTCCAAATAGGCTCTAATTTTAATTTTAATTTTCTATTTAATTCAGGACTTATACAAGAGATTATCAATTTGCAAAAGGACGTGATACAATACTACCATGCAGATAATAACTGTAAAATGGATCTCTACAATGGAGAGATCTAGCAGTCACCACTATAAAAAAGTGATAACATCTACCATCATTAATAGTGGCAAAACTCAACATTATATGCTTTTTAATGTATACAACATCAATGCAATGAAACCTCTTTGTTTAACTTCAAATTTGCTGGAACTATTAGGGATAGAAAAACAAGATAAATGACCCATAAGGAAACTACTTAACTCTCCAAAAATCCAAAGTCGTGAAAAAATGTTCTAAAGCAGGAATTCACAATTTTTGGGGGGAAGAATCAGATTGTAAATATTTTAGGTTTTGTGCGCCATACAGCCTCCTTTGCAACTACTGCAACTATAAGCTCTGCCAGAGACATACAAAAGCAAGCCACAGACAGTACGTAAACGAATGGATGTGGCAGTGCTCCAATGAAACTCATGTTTTAAATCCTCTCGTTTTTCATATTCTACTAGTTTTTGTCCAGAAAGATTTAAAACTTAACAAAGCCATAAGTAATTACATGAAGTTTATCTAAATTCATTACATTGATATAGACTTGATCTCATAATAACTCATTAACAGTAATAGAAATAATGACAATACTAAAAATAGTATCTAATACTTACTGAAAAAAGACTATGTTCTAGATAGGTTTCCAAGTTTTCTATATTCCAATAACAGCACTATAATTAGTTGGTACTATTATCATCATTTACAAATGACTCCCATAGGGATAAATATCTTACCCAATGTTGACAGACTGTAAAGAATCAAATGGCAATCATGATAGTTTTCCACATTTGTTAGGTCAACAGGGGTTTTCTGGGGTATGAGTTTTTTCAAGTTTAACAATAATTGACTAGGGCTGGAGGGCTTTTATAAATAAAGCATAAAAAACAAGAGCATTTCCACATTCTCTGAATTTTCCATTATGAATATTCTTATAATCTATAAATAGAGAAATGCCAGTAAAGGTTTTCCTGTGTTACATAAAAATACATCATAAATTCTCTGAATATGAACATTTGGGTCATAAATGAAAAAACAAAAACATTAGTTTTGGTGTTTAATATTAGTTAAAACATTTACATTGCGAGGGATTCTCACCAGTATAAATTATTTAATGCCTTATAAGAACTCAACTATATCTAAAAGTGTTCCCACATTCTTTGCACTCAAATTGTTTCTCAGTGTTATAAATCCAGTGATGTACTGTACATTGTCTACTGCAACACATGCCCTTCCACAGTCCTTACATTCATAACGCTTCTCTTCAGTATGAATTCTCTGTGTACTTTAAGCCTTGAACTAAGCCTAAAGGACTTCCCGCATTTGTTACATTCAAAGGGTTTCTCACCATTGTGAATACTCTGATGTCGAGTAAGTCGTCCATACACACTAAAGGCCTTCCCACATTCCTTACATTCATAGGGTTTCTCACCAGTATGATATCTATGATGTACAATTAGTTGATGGCCACTAATAAAAGCCTCCCCACATTCGTTACATTCATGGGGTTTCTCACCAGTGTGAATTCTATGATGCATTCTAAGGCTTTCAACATGACTAAAGGCCTTCCAACATTCCTTACATTCTTATGGTTTCTCACCAGTATGAATTCTCTCATGCCTAACAAGGTTTGAGGTAAGACAAAAGGCCTTCCCATATTCTTTACATTCATAGGGCTTCTCACCAGTATGAATTCTGTGATGCATTCTTAGGCTTCCACCATGAATAAAGGCCTTCCCACATTCTTTACATTTATAGGGTTTCTACCAGTATGAATTCTTTCATGTCGAATAAGTGCTGAAGCATGACTAAAGGTCTTTCCACATTCTTTACATTTACAGGGTTTCATGCCAATATGCATTCTCTGATGTGGAATGAGTTGATAGCCACAACTAAAAGTCATCACACATTCCTTACATTCATAGGGTTTCTCCCCAGTATGAATTCTCTCATGCTGAACAAGATTTGAGGCACAACTAAAGGCCTTCCCACATTCCTTACATTTGTATGGTTTCTCCCCAGTATGAATTCTACGATGTTTTCTAAGCTCTATAACACGACTAAAGGTCATCCCACATTCATGGCATCCATAGGGTTTTTCACCAGTACGAATTCTGTCATGTTGCACAAGGTGAGAGGCTTGACTAAAGGCCTTCCCACATTCCTTCCATTCATAGGATTTCTCACCAGTATGAATTCTCTGATGAACTATAAGATCTATTCTACGACTAAAGGTCATTCCACATTCCTCACATTTATAGGGTTTTTCACCAGTATGAATTCTCTGATGTTGCAGAAGGTTGGATGCACGAGTAAAGGCCTTTCCACATTGCCTACGTTCATAGGGTTTCTCTCCAGTATGAATTCTCTGATGTACTGTAAGGTCCGTATGTTGACTAAAGGCCTTCCCACATTTTGTCACATTCAGAGGGTTTCTCTCTGAGTTTTCTGAGGTAGAGTAAGAGATGAACATTTTTTATAAATGTGTACTTTTTCATAGCTGATTATTTCATATCTTGACTCCAAATCTAAAAGAAATGGGAAAAATATTTTGTTTTCCTGGACAAAAAAAAAATTTGAATGTTTTATAGTCAGTTTTTTAAAAATAAAAAATATCACCCGTTAGAGATGAATACTTTAGAGAACTCTAAAATCAGCTATACAGTTTGCAACAGTTACTGACAGTGTCTCCGCAACTCATTTATCACACTTTACTAAAATGATTTAATGTACTCTTTTCTGTATCAGTTTCCATATAAAATATAAATATATTAAAAGCAACTATTTATAGCTGATCTTTCTCCAATTATACTTCCCCTTAAAAATACAGATACTGTGGTTGTGGTTCATTCCCTCCAATGCACGGCCATGTGTGCATTTCTTGGTTCCCATATCAAATAAAATAATGAGTTCTTATTTACTTATCTTCATTGAGCTCCTCCTTATTAGTTACCCATTCTACAGATGTTCCATCTGTTTTACTCCTTCATATCTTCTCTCAGGTTCTCTCTCACTGACCCCACCCCCCTTTTCTTTTGGTGAGGAAGATTAGCCCTGAGCTAACATCTGTCACCAATCCTCCTTTTTGTTGAGGAAGATTGGCCCTGGGCTAACATCTGTGTCCATCTTCCTCTACTTTATATGTGGGATGCCTGCCACAGCACGGCTTGATAAACAATGTGTAGGTCCACGCCTGGGATCCAAACCTGTGAACTCCGGGCTGCTGAGGCAAAGCACGTGAACTTAATCACTATGCCACCAGGCCGCCCCTCACTTTCTCTCTCTTTTTGTTTTTGAGGAATATCAGTCCTGAGCTAACATCTGTTACCAATCCTCCTTTTTGCTGAGTAAGATCAGCCCTGGGCTAACATCTGTGCCCACCTTCCTCCACTTTACATGAGATGCTGCCACTGCATGGCTTTGATAAGCAGTGCGTAGGTCCACACCTGGGATCCAAACCTGAGAACCCTGGGCAGCTGAAGTGGAGTGCGCAAACTTAACTGCTTTACCACCAGGGTGGCCCCCACTCACTTTCCCTTTTAACCACAGTTGACCATTCTGGTAATTCCTACAAGTCTGTCAATGAATTTTCAGGCATGTACTAGGTATATACCGTACAAAAAGTCATAAAATTCTGAGCATCTGGGGATTTCAAAGAAAAGAAGGAAAACTGAACTATACAGTAAAAGAGCTGGAGAAAGAATGCCAGGAAGTATGTGAAAAAGAATTGACAGATGCAGCCTATAAGGTAATAACCAATATGAAAGAATATCTTGATGAAATTTCAAAGTGCTGAATGAGTAGGTCGAGATTTGTGGGCAAGAAATATCTTATGAGTAGAGTATCTATGTGTCAAAACTCTGAAGTAATACAAACACTCTCTCTCCAAAAACAAGTAACAACAGAAATTAATAACCATATCAGAAAACCAAAACATGTTCCATGTGAAAATGGATATGTCCTCTCCAGAATAAATGCTGCGTAAACAAGGAAATAAAAAATTGAAATGGAAGAACTCTAGTAAATCACAATAGAGAAAATAAGTACATATCAGGATCTTGGGCAATTTCAGCATTCAGAGAATTCAAAGATTTAAACACTTATTTCAATAAAAATGGAAGAAATAAATGAATTAAGGAACCAATTCCAAAACTTGGAAAATAAAAGAAAGCAGGAAAAAATTAAGATAAAAGAAAATTTAATGAGTTAGAAAAGAGTAGTGTTAATAAATAAAGAACTAGTGCTTTAAAAATCAAGAAGTAAAACACTGGGGCCGGCCTGGTGGCACAAGCGGTTAACTGCGCGCGCTCTGCAGTGGCGCCCAGGGTTCGCCGGTTCGGATCCTGGGCGCACGCCGATGCACTGCTTGTCAGGCCATGCTGTGGCGGCATCCCATATAACGTGGAGGAAGATGGGCATGGACGTTAGCCCAGGGCTGGTCTTCTTCAGCAAAAAGAGGAGGATTGGCTGATGTTAGTACAGGGCCGATCTTCCTCACAAAAAAAAAAAAAGAAGTAAAACACTAGCTAAAACAAACAAGAGTAAAAATAAAAAATAAATGATTAAGGGGTAAATGCAAAATTAAAATGAATTTTATTGATATTATGAATATTTCTGAAAACATCATTAATACTTTTCAAAGTATAAATGGAATGGAAAATTCTCAAGAAAAATTCAACAAAATTCATCAAAAAAAAAAAAATCACCAAGAAAGCCTAAACAGACCAATTGCCACAGAAGAGACAGAAAAAGTTGCCAGAAAAGATAGCTATAATGACCACTCTTTAACTCCTAAATTATAATTTCTAAATATCAATGTCCACCATATGGATCCAAGATAGTTGAATAAAAAAACAATTCGGGGGGCCAGCCCTGTGGCGCAAGTGGTTGGGTGCACACGCTCCGCTGTGGTGGCCCGGGGTTTGCCGGTTTGGATCCCAGGTGCGCACCAATGCACCGCTTGTCAAGCCATGCTATGGCGGCGTCCCATATAAAGTGGAGGAAGATGGGCAAGGACGTTAGCCCAGGGCCAGTCTTCCTCATCAAAAAGAGGAGAATTGGCAGATGTTAGCTCAGGGCCAATATTCCTCATAAAACAAAACAAAACAAAACAAAAAAAAGAATTCAGGAAAGGGGCAAGAAAATGAGCCTAGAAATCTTTCGCCATAAAGAAATGAAGATGTCACAGATTTACAGAGGTGTAACTGGGAAAAACTGTAAAAACAGTAGCATAAAAATGATTGTGATAGATATAAACAATATAGTAAAAACCAATGAGTCTACAATGATACAAGAGAAAATAAATGAAAATATCATTTTCACCATTAAATACTCCTTAATTGAAGAAGTTCTAGTTCCACCATTGTGGTGTAAACCTCTTATAGTCCATCTCCCTCTGACTGATATCAACTAAAAATGCTTGACAAAATAATCAAACACCTGAGGTCAGTAAATAAGAATAAACAAAGGCGGAGGATTGGAGATGGCAGTGAAAACCTTAAAAAGTGACCTATACTAGGCTGAGTTTTTTGCTAATTTCCCTATCACTCATAGCCTTGCCACAGGGGTGGGCCCCAGTTATACTGGCACAAAAATGGGCTACAAAAGCCCCAACATATTTCTTGCTACAAGAATCATGGCAAGGAATACTACCAAACTGGAACATGAAGGGGGAACCCTAGAAAGGAAACATCCAAAGAAGATTCCTAATTTGGGGTACGAATGAATACAAATCTTAGTCTAAACCTGAATTACACATGCGTGAGAAAGACACAAACCAGTGTAGCAAAGCCTCAGAGAAGCCAACTGAGAATTAAACCACTGCCCACAAACAGCAGAACATACAGTCTAAATGTTATTGCTTTGATTCCTTGTTAAAATATCAATATGTAAACATATCACTATCCTCCAGAGAAATGAACAAAACTCAGAATAAACACAAGATAGCACTCACAATGTCCACAATACAATTCCAAATTATTCAACATAAATAGAACAAAAAAATGTGATCCCCTCTCAAAGAAAAAGACAAACCATAGATGCTAAACCTGAGGCAACCCAGGTGGTGAAATTATCAAACAAAGACATAAGCTATTTTACGAGGCTGGCCCCATGGCACAGTGGTTAAGTTTGGCACACTCTGCTTTGGTGGCCCGGGTTCCCAGGTTCAGATCCCGGACGTGGACCTACACCACTCATCACCCATGCTGTGGTGATAACCCACATACCAAATAGAGGAGGATTGGCACCGATGTTAGCTCAGGGAGAATCTTCCCCAAGCAAAAAGAGGAAGAATGGCGACAGATGTTAGCTCAGGGAGAATCTTCCTCAAAAAACAAACAAACAAAAAAAATTATTTCAGCTATACATTAAGAGATTAAAAAAAAATTAAAAAACCCACACATTTGAAATTACTCAAAGATAAGAAGCATAAACAAGAGAAAAAGAAATCGCATAAAGAACGAAATGAATACTGTGGAACTAAAAGATATAATTTCTAAAACGGCTGGATGAGCTTATAGCAGAATGGAAACAACAGAAGAAAGAGTCAATAAACTTGACAGATGTATAGAAGTTATTCAAGCTGAAATTCATAGATAAGACAGGTTAAAAAATTTCATAATAGAGCTTCAGGGACCTGTGGTAAGATATCAAAAGATGTAATTACAATCTGAAAAGAAAAACAGAAAGAGACAAAGGCAAAAAAAGGTCTGATGAAAAGAACAAAACTACTAAAGGAAGTTATTTAGGCTGATGGAAAATGATAAAAAAGAGAACCCTGAATTATCAGGAATGAAGGAAAGGTATCATGAAAAGTAAATACCTAGGTAAATATCTAAGATAATTTATTCTCCTCAAGTTCTTTCAGATATACATGACTGTTGAAAGCAAAGCTTACAACATTGTTTGGTGGTATTTTTAATGTACGTAGATGTGATAAACACAACAATTATAGAGGGAAAGGTATGTATAAAGGGTATTGAAGATGTAAGGTGTCTTCATTTTACAAGAAATAATAAAATATTAACTACGTAGATTTTGAAAGCTTAGGAATATTATATATTGTAATCCCTATAACATACATTAAAGTAAATATGCAAAGAGAAATAGCCAAAATGCCAATAGATAAATTACAATGAATAGTAAAAAAAATTAAATATTCCAGTACAAGGCAGGAAATGGGAAACAGAAGAACTAAAAACAAAGGGGGATAGGGCATTAGGAAGAGGGTGGACTAGGAAGATACAGGCCCTTGTTTTCCCCAAGAGATACTGAATTAACAGCAATATATGTACCAAAATACCTTTGTGAGAACCCTAAAAACTAGGTAAGGGGCTACAGAACCGAGGTAAGCATATAAACAAGAGAAGAGACAGCAAAGAAAGGTAAGAGTTGGTCATAGTTTGCTTGCCCTA